GCTGACTTCTCACTTAGATGGCTGCTTATTTTGGGACAAGCCTCTAATGCCTCATCTGATTTCTTCCACACACTTTGCTAGGACACCCATGTTCTCTGTGGGCTCCTGAGGGTGAGGACTAGGCAGGCTCATGCCATAAGAGCTAATTGTTCTTCTAATAGGGCTCTGATCAAGTGAGAGCTCAAACTTCATTCATATAACTATTGTTTCTATAGTTCCCTGGTTCCCTTTTGGAAACATCATTGTCATTTCATTGTAGGATATCATAGATTTTTCTCATGGGGCTTAAGGCAACTCTATTGATAGGAACATTATTTTAGTCATTGGCAAAACACCACTGAGCTAAGAATTTTCTACGTGTGTAGGACTTCTTCTCAGACTCCGGTACACGAATTGTTAACTTCTATCTTCAAATGTGGGTGACTGGATACCAGTTACACATGCTGCGAGGGTTGGAGATATGCCAATGCTTCCAGTAGCACTTAGTTTATGAGGTCAGAACCATGTCTGATAGACTCACATGTGAAAACAGCAAATATATGTTGGTCCTGGGCTGCCATTCATTGAGCTCTACCTTTCTTGACTTCAAACCACATCATATTCCCTTGTTCTGTTCTCAGGACTGCTGTGTGTAGGTTCCATATTGGCACAATTAAGTGTTCTAGAATTCCCATTCTCTGAAGTGTTGTCCATAATTTATTTTGATCCACAAAATTGTATACCTTTGCACAGTCAATAAAAATCTAGGTGAGAAGTAACTAGATTCGCATGTTGCCAAAGAATATAAAAATATAAAGGGAGGCACATAGCCTGGGTCTAGGAACTGAAAGGTTTATAATAATTGGAGTCACGATGAAAGGCTTCCTCCAGGAGATGAGTTTTGAGCCACTTTGCTTTTCGCTGGTGGAGACACAAGAAAAGGGGATTCTCCAGGCCAAGGGCATGAGTGCTGTGAGGGGTCCCTGCATGTTCAGGAGGCCGTTTGACGGGAGTGAGCAGTTGGCTGGTGAGCAGTAGCAGTAAAGGCAGGGCAGATGGTGGGCCACCTCCATGTTCTGCAGGTGGTGGGAGTCACTGGGGATTTCTAATGAATGGACCGCCATAATGAAAGTATTCCCTATAAGATGGACCAGTTGGGATAACATGCAGACAGAGCTTGGGGAAAGGAACTCCAAAAAGCTACTGTCGTGATGCAAATGTTAGGCTTCACTGCTCTCAGATAGGAAAATTAAAGTGAAATTGAAAAAATAATAATATCCATTTGCCTATAGTTTTTATAATGAACACATTTCCCCACATTTCATTTAAACCTAATAGTAACCTTGTGACATTTACCCTCATATTTTATAAATGAAGGGTCTAAGGCTCAGAGGTTGAGCTGTTTTTAAGTAACCTCACAAAACACTGGGGGCCTGAGTGGCTGAGACATACCAGTCATGGGGGGCTCTGAGGTAATTTCTGACAAGTTAGGCTGGGTGTGAAGATGGCAGACTCTCTCAGTGGGTTTCTTGGGGTCAGTGGCCTTGAGTAGCGAACACATTCATGTGCTGGGCTGATTAGAACATTAGATCCACGCATCGGAGCCACACAAGAAAGGGGTTACAATCGGCTTCCAAAACACCAGGCACTGAAACTGAGGGCGCACACTCCTTTACTGCCACCCGCCTGAGCGGGAGTTAGCGCCACGGCAAATGTTCGTTGACTGTTTTTCATCTCGGAGCCACATCCCTGGCTCTGGTTTCAGACAGCCATTCATGGGGCTCTTCTTGTCTCTGGAGGATGCATGTTACAAGCGTGTGATGGAGGGAAGGGAAGGGAAGACAATTGAGGATTCAAGTTGCTTCAAATAAGAGTGGTCAGGTTTGCTCGGAGTATCTTTGGGTTTTCAGACAGGTGAGTTTCGTTCCACTTTAAGAGGCTGAACCCAGGTGTGAATTGTTGTGAGGTGAGTGGCTGCTGGGCTGACTGACGCACGGAGGCCTTTTGTTTAACTGACGGAAATGATGCCAGGTACAGTGTCACTCACCTTCATGATCTGTGTTATATTTGGATCCCTTGCTGTAGCTGTTGTGTCAAGCCATCCCAGTGGGAGATTTCCTTATTTTTATCGGCCCTCTACTTTATCAAACCCGACATCCTTTGCTAGTATTAATCTTTCTTGATAATGTCTCCAATGTAAGTGACTTGAAGTTTCATCATGTTTGCTTCGAAGGAACATTCCGGTTGTAGCGTTTCTAAGACTGGCTTGTCTGTTCTTTTGTCTGTCCCTAGTGTGTTCAATACTGTTCATCAGCATCACCTCAATGCTTCTCTGGCTTCCTCTTTCCATTACCCAATTTTCTTGTGTGCAAAAATGGCCTGGGAGCCATGCCTGCCCTCTCAGGAGGATGAAGGAGAATCCAATTATGCCCTACTCTAGTGGTGGTTGCCTCAGGTAGAGTTTAGGCGGGCCTCCACCCTCCAACCACTGTTGCTCTATTCTGAGACCAGCCGTTCCTCTCACAGCACTCTGTTTCTCTCTTGGGTCCACTTATCTGTGGCAATGGCCACACGGAGCTCACAGACAATGTGAATAGGGAAGTTAACAGGTTATATCAAGTCAGGACCAGAAAGTGTTAAGGATACAGTTCTTTTGTCTGCAATGCCTCTTCTCAGCTGTGCTGGCTGCCATAGCTCTTTGGCTATTGTCCCATAAGCCACATGCCTGTTGGCCTCTGCCCTGGTTGGGAACGTTTTACAAGGCTCATGTACTGTGAAAAAAGACCCACAGACCACTCTACAAGCGTCCTACCCAAAGGTACCCAGCTTTACTTCTAGTGTCTGCTGCGTGGTACCTCTGCTGCTGCCGTCCCTTCTGCAGCTGGCTCTTCTTGGCGTTAGCAAGCGCCTCTCTTCCTGCTTCTCAGGTGGTTTACTTTATACCCTGTGGAATAGAAAAACTGACAAATCTCGAAGTTAGAGTCCTCTACACCATATTTGTATGCTCCCACCCAGTCTTTTGGAGCCTTAGTGACATCGTAGTTAAATGTTGGGCCACAATCTGCAAGATCAGCTCTTTGAAACCACCAGCCACTCCTTGGGAGAAAGACAGGTCTTTCTCCTCCTATAAAGTGTTACAGTTTCAGAAACGCACAGGGGCAGTTCTACCCTGTCCTATAGGGCTGCTATGAGTCAGCGTTAACTTGATGGCAGTGAGGTTGGTTTGGGTTTGGGTCCAGTCTTTTGGTGGGTGTCACGAGGACTATAGATAGGGGAGCTATTCCAAGTACTTTCGCTTCACTGCACCAAGCATACAAAGCAATGGAAAGACCATGTCTTAGGTCAAGTGCCCCTTAGTCTTCAAAGTGTTATCTTTGCTTTGTAAAGCTTCAAAGACATATTTTCCAGCAGATATCATTTGCCTGATGCAACATGATATATCCATCTTTCTGGCATTCTCTACTTTCAGTCAAGATCCATCTGATAACAGCCATGACCCCCCCCCATTGCACATCCTCTTCTGAATCCCGCTTGAACTTAAGGCAGCAGTCACTTTAGAATGATCTTTGGCACAGTTTTGCCAGCCTGTGATATTCGTGAAACTGTTAGAAAATGTCTACTTTCTATTTGCCTGTCTTTAGAATTGGAACATATGAGGGAACATACCATATATGAATCTCTTCCAGTCGGGTGACCAGGTACTTGTCTTGCATATTCCCTGATATAAATGAATAAGAATGTTTGGGCTCCTTCTTATCCAGACAGGCTCTGTCCTAAACAGGGTTAGCTGTGATGGAATGGATTTCCTTTCCTTGTGTGGTTCAAGCAGGCGCTCTGGGGCAGAGAATGGTAAAACAAGGTGGTATAGACCGCAGGGATTATCTTTGTCATTCTAGTGACTGGGATACTTCATCAAGATTGCATCCTTACCAGACCTGGAGTTTGAATGCTATCCGCCAGTGTGGCAGTTCACTTTGTTCCTAAGTCAAACCTTGTCCATACGGTCATCCACTCATTTTGTTGACTAAGATCCTGAGGCAAGCGCCACCCTAAAGCAGCCAAGCAGGTGATGCCATCTGCTTTTCTCTTTGAAGAGTGTGTTTCTCTGCAATCCAATAGAAGCCAAATGCCCTTGGAAGATAGAAAGTGCTGGGAGGTGCAAAGGCTTGGACCATCATCACGGCAGGCCTTGATTAGATTTTCTTTTTTCATTGTTAATATTTAAAAAAGTATAAATTAGGATGGGGTTTACATATCAGATCATCAACTTTGTACTCAGCAGTTTAAACTACTCATCAAACCCTCAATAGTTTATAATTTCCCCGCCCCTTGATTTCCCTTCTCCTCTTGTGGACTCCCATCTTCATTTCACCCAGTTGACAGCTGTCAGACATCTAGTTTCTTGAGCTATATTGCCTCCTTTTTCTTTCTCTCTTTGGCAAACCCCAAAGTCTATTCCCTTTGGTATGAAAGTGTGTATTTTATCTCCTTCCCCCATATGACAGGGGTCTCATGTAATATTTGACCTTTTGTTTTTTATTTTATTTTTAATATTTGCCCTTTGGTGATTGACTAATTTCACTCAGCATAATGCTCTCTAGGTCCACCCATTCTAGAAGTGCTTCATGGACTTGTCATTGTTTTTTTAGTGACACATAGTATCCCATTGTGTGTGCCGACCAGCGTATCTTTGTCCATTCTCCTACTGATGGGCATTTTGGTTGTTTCCATTGTCTTACTGCCGGGAACAGTGCTGTGATGAACATGGGCGTGCATGTGTCTCTTTGTGTCTGTGATTCTTACTTATCTAGGGTATGTACCCAGCGGATGGCTTGGGTGGCGAATGGGGAAGGAGAGCAGGTTGAGAATTGGTGGCCTCTGTAGTCTCAATCCAGGTGTGGAGAGTAACATTCACATCTCCAGCTGTGGTAAAGGTCAAGCCAATTTTAGTCATTTGAAGTGATAATGTCGTTGGAAAATTACAATGCCGCATGCTATTTTAACTCTTTTTCTCTCCTTAGAATACTGGGGGTTTCAATGGCAGGAGAAGGAGTGATCAGAAGACCGAGATGAGTTTGAACACTATCTTAGAAGAGATTCTTATTAAGAGGTCACAGCAGAAAAAGAAGACATCACCCTTAAACTACAAAGAAAGACTTTTTGTACTTAGCAAGTCCATGTTAACCTACTATGAAGGTCGGGCAGAGGTAGGACACAATCACGTTTTATTTTGCCACTTTCTGTGTTGATAACTGTTTTTGAATAATGTTCCGGCATGCCTTCATCTTCTCCAATTTTACAGAATAGGCTTTAGGCTAATGAAATTCGGATAATTTTCTGTTGTCATTTGGAACAAAAAGATTAAGTCTAGTTTATGTATAGAAACTCAAAATTTCATTGATGATAGGTTTAGTGTACTTAAGTATGTTTTACTTTTCTTTCAACCTACAAAATTAATCAGTTAAAGAAAATAAATGTTTACATTGCTGCTCCTTCCTCACAGACTTCCTTCAGTATATTGGGTGTATTAGACTCTGTCCCACAAACTACTATATTATGTAGTAGTCTTCTGTCAGGAGCTGTGTTGGCATTGCCTTTTATGCATCAGGCTGTGAACTACAAGGTTAGCACCAACCGGATGCTCCTTGAGAGAAACATGAGGCGTTCTGCTCCGGTAATCTCGGGAACCATAGGGGCAGTGCTGCCCTGTCCTGTAGGGTCTTTCTGAGTCAGATGTGCTTCAATGGCTGTGAGCTGTTGCTGTTGTCTTCTGTAGCACATCTAAACGATGTTGCTGTTCACCACTTTATGCGAATGTCATTGTTAGGTGCTAGTGAGCAGTCTTGACTACTAGTGACCCTATAGTCAACAGAATGAAACAGTGAGCGATCCCGAACCAGCCTCACGATTGTTGATGCCTGAGCCCACTGTTGCAGCCACTGTGTCCATCCATCTCATTGAATGCTTCCTCTTTTTCATTGACCTTTACTTCCAGGTACTGGTCCCTCCTCATAACATGTCCAAAGCACACGAGACAGTCTTGCTGTCTTTTCTCCTAAGGAGATTCTGGCTGTACTTTTTTCAAACCCAGGTTTGTTTATTCGACTGGAAGTCCATGATACGTTGTTCAATATTCTTTGCCATCACCACAATTCAGATGCATCAGTTCTTTTTGCTCCCTTAGTCAGTGGCCAGCTTCACGTGCCCAGAAGGTAATGGATGGCACCTTGGCTGCTGAGTCAGCTACACTGTAGTCTTCAAAGCGACTTTGCCTTTTTAAATGATTTTAAAAGATCTTTTGCAGCAGAGTTGCTCAGTGAGACACTTTGATTTCTTTTCTTTTTTCTTTTACTTTGTTTGATTTCTTGACACCTGCCTCAATGGGTGTTGATTATGGATCCAAGTGAAATGAAATCCTTGACAACTTCAACATTTCCCCCCTTTATGATGCTGCTGCTTATTGGTCTAGTTGTGAGGATTATGTTCTTTATGTTGAGGTCTAATTCATATTCAAACGATAGTCTTTGGTCTGCATCAGTAAGTGCTTCACTATGAACCTTTCTTCATGGTTAAGTGGAAATTAGTTGCAACTGGTGATTGATTTGATGAATCCAACACATCTTCAGACATGAAGTAAAGCTACTCAGCCCTTTTTGTGGTTAGTAGCACAGTTCTTCTGATAAAAACAGGGAAGAGCTCAGGATAAAAACAACTGGGCAGTGAGCACGTGGTTGTATCAGCCAGTCTGGCTTTTCAATTGTTTCAGCTTCTAGTTCTACCACACTATGAGGCATACAGATGGGCAGAGAATATGCGATAATATTTCATCCCCTTTGTTTTCTCCTGGCACGGGGTATCGCCTGGTACTGGAGACCATAGGATGTGCTCCTCTTTGCTAGAAGTACTTCAGGGTTTCAGGGAATTAATTGCTAGAAACTGGGTTGCCATTGGTTGATTATACATGATTGCATGCTTATTTATTGTTGCCGATCCTGATGCTTGGTTTTCATCCTATTTTCTTCCTAGAGCGCCCTCCTCAGAATTTAATTAATTGGTTATATTAACTAGCACTTATTTCTCTATGGTTTGGTTCAGGCATCCTTAAACTATGGCCCACCGGTCACATGCGGCCCCACTGAGGACATTTATCCAGCCCGCTGGGTGTGTTTGCCCCTTTTGTTTTTTTACTTCAAAATCAGATATGTGCAGTGTGCATAGGAATTTGTTCATAGCTTTTTATAAAACTATAGTCCAGCCCTCCGATGGGTCTGAGGAAAGTGAACTGGCCCCCTGTCTAAAAAGTTTGAGGACCCCTGATTTGGTTCCTCCTCTCCACCAATTCCAGCACAATGACCTGACTTCACACAGGAGGCTCTCAGCTCTGTTATTTTGTGCTGTGGGTGGCCACTGTGACTTGTGGAATTCTTCAAGTTCTTGTTATTTAGTACAACAATCCCTTGTCCACTATTTCTAAATCATCAGCGTACTGCAAGTCAAAACTTCAAAAACTCTTTAGCCACCAAAATCTGACATGGTGTGAGGCTACTTTTGGCCTAGCAGTGAATATTTATTTCCCCCCAGAAATAGAAATATATTTTTGGGGTCTGTACTATTCCTTGCATTGTGTCAGGTTATATATGGTGCATGTGCTGTATTTTATTTTTAAAATCTGGAAATTCCTGGATTCCAAGGCACATTTGATCCAAAGGGTTTGAAATCAGGATTATAGAAGAATAGTATTTTCATTCACCAAAAGAAGGAATCATTTAAAAAACCTAAAAACTGAAACAGCTTTTAAGATGGAATGTTGATACATTGGTGTGTGTGTGAAAACGTGTCCTAATTTGAATGTCATATAGTAACCCTAAGAGAAGACTAGACATGGAACAGCAGAAGTGGTAAAATGTGGTACATTAGTAACCCAAAGCCTCAGAAACCTGCTTTATCTGCTCAGAAACATGGATAGATGCGCTTGAGATAGGTTGCAATTGTTAACTCACTCTGCAGAAGATAAACATTGTCACACAATCAAAAGAGTGCAGACAGCTTTAGTTTTAACAGACTCCTCCTAAGGAAAACAATGGAATCTTCTTAATCTAGCCTTGCTTGGGAGCTGCTGACTCAGCCACTGGGAGGACCAGGAAGGTCAGATTGAGAAAGTCAGCGGTGGAAGCCCAGTCTCTGATACTCAACCCTCAGAAACCCTCTCCGCTCCTGCCGCTGCTGGCTGTCCTGCGCACCTGCTTGTGTTCGCTCAATCTGAGTTGAGTACGCACGCCTCTGATGGGCTTGATCCCTCCAGGCTTCCTTTCTCCTGGACGGCAGTCATCAACATCATGGGACCTGTGGGTCTTAGATCACACCTGCAAATGTGTGTGCCTGAAATAGCTGCTGATCTTTAAAACATGAGCAGATTTCAAAGGAGAATCAAAATTCTTCAAACACCGGGAATTCTGTGACAACACTGGCTAAATTCCCACACAGCTGTCTACCTGGCTTGT